CAGTCGATAAGCGAATCTCATCGTGAAAATTGGCAATAGCATGAAATATGAGAATCTAAGTGACTCCCACACTTTAGAAGAGAACGTGAATGTAGCCTACGTGACTGATTGCACGTTAGGTAGATGCGTGCGTGATTATCTCTTAGCATGCAGGCAGGTCAAACTGCGCATGTCACGACGTTTTGGTGTGTTACATTCAAAATTTAATTAAACTACTTAATTATCATAATATGCGAACAAACTTGACATCAAACCATAGATAATAAATCCAATTTTAATATCATGTAAGTTTTACGTTCTTAATTGTATAAAAAAATACTTATAAATAACCTCAAATTCCCCTATTGTAAGAACTGGGATATTTGTTCTTGAGCCGTCTCTTCTTCTTGATTTTTTTGTCCACTTCATAGAAAACTACGAAATGTAATGTAAAATATAATTTTGTCATTGATATTCTGAAGTTGTATTTTTTATATTCTTCAGTCTTATGGGACTAAAGAGCAATCAATAAAAATTCAGAAACCACTTTCCACGCCTACCTCCAACATGCTCTAATTCACAATTTGCTGATAGATTTTTCTAAGGCAGACTCCCATTAAATTTATCAATAGAAAGCCTAGATTTCAACTGATTCATTACCACAGTCGTCATACCAAGTGTGATTACAGAAAATTTACAATTTGGTTAGATGTGAAAAAAGTTTCCCACAAGCACACACTGGGAAGAATAGTTGAATTTCTAAAGTCACATGATTAGAGGTGCTCGAGTACCGGTGCCGGTACACGGTTGGTACCGGTAATCTGGTACCGCCAGTACTATTGCAAACCTAATGCTGACTGGACTGAAGCAATTTGGATCAAAGAGATCTTCTGAGACGAATCAAAATCCAAACTGCAAGGGTGTGATAGGATATCAATGTGAAGAAGAGTTTCATCCAGCGTGTGGAATGCCCACATTTTGTGTTAAATACACTGAGATCCTAGAGTCTCGGTTAAGCCAATAATTCGGGATCATTTCAGTGGAGCTGACCAGCACATTCCAGTCTGACGCTGTTTCGTGCCAGAGGCCTAAAAAAGTTCGTATTATTCGTGTAATTTATGCAGTAAACGTGAAATACAGAGGAAATTTCACTATATATGCATTGAAAAGACGACTTAGGTTTTATTTCATTGCTTCGAGTGACGGACTATCTTCGAAGGGAGATGATCAGGACACTACGCTGGTCAGGCAACCCAATTCTAAACCCTACTGAAAACTGCTGAAAGGCAATGTGTAACAATGTGCAAGAGAAAAAACACAACTTGGAACCGCAGGAAGCCCTAATCGTGTACTCACTTCTGCCTACATTCAGTCCCTCGTTCACTTTATGTCAGCCCCCAGTGGCACAGCAATAAGTCTACGGATTTATAACGCTGGTTTCGATACCCGTGGTGGGCAGAGCACAGATAGCCCATTGTGTAGCTTTGTGCTTAAATATAAACGTACATGCGTGCACTCTATGCCACGGCGATGTCAAGCAGTTATCAAGGTCAGAGGGGGCACAACCAAATGTTAAGACATGAAAGAGACAAAAATGACCATTTTTTGTCAATAACATTACTGGCATTATCTTTAAATCTAGCTTTTCTCACTCAGTAAACATTTTCGTATTTGTTGATCATCTGCTCTAATACGTTTGTCACTGTTAGTTTGTTAACAAAGATGCATATACCTGTTTGGGTGGCACAAATACTAATCCGCTTACATCACATAATATCCACAACCGTTTAACACCAGTTCCGACATTTCCACAATGTACAGTCTCGTACAATAAAGGTGTGAAAAAATTGGGTGATGTAATAATTTTTACAGCACTGTATATATGAATAATTATATTATCTACTGTAACAAATATTCTATAGTTTTCACTTCATATAACAATGGTTTGATTCACATAAAAAAGTTGAAGCTAGCGAAAGAACTCAGTTGAAGAGTTTCACAAAACGTGAAAGGGTAATTGGAATTTGGAAATCAAGTACGTTAGTTAAGACTATGTAAAATTAGTCATAGAATACTGTTAACCCTCTCAGTTCAGTGTTATAAAGCATGTGATGATCCCTAGTGTGATCCGAAGTACAAATGATTTGGTGATTCAGCCTATGCTTCTAAATTAACATTTGGTTGAAGTGGCTACTCATTTTTACAGTTCACAACATTTTAATTTAATATGGACTAGGATATCCATGAATAGTATTGTACAAATGCATGTTTAAAATTAGTGTTGATAAGGCACCGAGGTGTAACCTTGACCATCCTCTGAAAGAGCCGTATTCCCGAGGATATTTAGCGTCTGGAGTAACTTGATGAGATGCGTCTTCTAAGAGCATTCTATACTTGCTCGACAAAAGTGTAGTCCACTGAGAGTCCATTCGGCCAAACCTCTCGTTTTTAATGTGGACCGGTTTAATATGGTAAAGGCAGGCAATATCATCAATTAGGCTGAATTAAGGGTCAAGTGCGTCAACATGTAGCCCCAGAAAGGGTTGTAGGATGTAGCATTGGTGGTGCTATTCTGAAAGATACAGAAGTCAACGGTATTTATTTCTGCTCTCATTACATTTCCACCACCATTATGAGTGTTACATTCTTATATGAAGACGGGTTCGATAAGGTTTCAGATTCTTCCTAAATGAGTATACGCCCGTTATATGACTGCAGAATAAAGCACAACTTATTTTTTTAAACGAATGTTTCCCCATACGTCGTTGGTCCACTGAATGTGTTTTAGCATGGTTGGAATAGAGTTGTTTTGGGCCTGGTTGTGAGCGGAATGAACTTTACTGGGTGTGGCGTACACGACGGCCTTGAAAAAGTCTGTTTATAATTATCTCTACATTATAGTAACGTCCAGTTGTGGCTACGAGCCTATGATTCGGTCTCGCAACAGGTACCCTAAGATAGTGGCTGTCTGCCTGTGTTGTGGGTAGTGATGGTTCGCATTCTTTATGTGTCCAAGCAGCTGAACCCTCGGTTTGGAAGCGGTTACATTACATAATACCGTAGCCTTATGTTGTCAATTTACGAGATCCTGCAGAGATTAGCCGACTTCGTTTCCCAGTGACTCTACATGAGAGTCAAATATCCAAACGTCTTTTTTAGGTCTATCCATGGGTAGTAAACAACCTGCGATTCATTTCAAAGTGAAACTAAGACACGAATTGATAAGCTTATTATATGTTTGTTGAATGACCAATGATCATTCTTTAATCGAACTGAGCAACGTAAAAAGAAATTGTACAAAAAAATACTGACGTTATTTTGAGAAAAGCAAGAACACACACATACATACATATATCTGGGATAAACAAGCGAGTTTTTTTATTTATAAACTAATACTTCTTACATATATAAATATGTAATAAAAGTTTGATAGTAAGGATTAAGTTTAAAAAGAGTATAATAAAATATGTATCTATGTTCAACTGTTTTTAAAATATTAATGCGAACAATTTGTAATGACTCAGATTAATATCAAAAATTTGTTACAAAACACTAGAAAATAACCAATTAACGATGATAAAATATAAAAAAATTTGCAGATTTTGAAAAAAATATTTGTTATAATTTTTACTTATTTTCTTTCAAGTTTTAATGTCTTGAGAATTTGAAAATCCCAATTTTTTTTTGGTTGAGGTTCCATAAGTCTCGCCGAACGTGAACTTAAGACCTAAAGTAATAATAAAAAAAAACATTAGTTGTGCAAACAAAACCAATATAATAATTCTAGAAATATTTTTGGGCAGTTAAGTTCTTCTGCAGTTGAATCTTTTATATACCATTCTGCCTGTAGTTTAGAAGTGGGTAACATTTCATGAATATTGTAACATCGCTTACTTCACATTTAAGGCAAATGCCGTTCATAGAATAATCAAATCAACTTACAAGTTACTCTTTTTTTCTTTTTCTTTTAAATTACAGTGTGTGTAACAATGAAGCTGACAACTAGCACTAAACATTTTAATTTACAACAAAAGTATTTCATTTGTAACAATTATATATATGGCCAACAGATGGCAGCAAGTACTTTGGTTCTATCTATATTTTATTTATTAATATATTTCAATTGCCAATAAAGGGCCATAGCCTTTTTTTCGTTGTGTAATTTTGTGGATCATAACATACAGTAATAATGGCGTTATACCTAATAATAATAGAACAAAAGCAGAGAAAATGCGCTTTGATTTCAGTTCAATTTCATTATACCATTACAATTTCCGCTTTATCATAATCTGTACATCAACTGCTTTTGACTGTCATTATTTTATTTTTACTCATTCATTTCAATTAATAAACTAAAATTTTCATATATTTCCTGAAAATGTTTTGTAAAGACATTTATCTTTTTACTCATATGTTATTAAAAATGTTAATTCCTGTTCCTGTTGAAATATTATTTTAATGGAATAGTGAACTTAGGACATCATATATGAACAGATCTTTGCATTAACTTTGAATTTGAGCCATATTCATCTTACAAGCTAACTTTATATAAACATACTTTTAAGCTTATTTCATTGTTTCCGAAGTAGCCGAGTAAACAAAAGGTACCCTATCTTTAAACTATTAACTCTGTACAAAACAAGAACTAACAACCTAAGGTGCATGTTTTCTTTATGTGATACTGTACAAACTGGCAACAATGGGTTAAGCTTCCTTTCAAATTATTCCAAATTTAAGATTAATGTTTATTCACGAAAAAAATATATTTTGTAGCGCTAATAAAGGTAGATACAAAACAACACTATGATATAGATGTGTCCCCTATTTCAAAATAAAAACTTTGTCAAGTTTCTTTACCAATTGGCTTGAATTCTTTATAGCAGGTGTCTGTGACTTGTTGGCGATAAATTCGAACAATAAACGGACAGAACACAATACACTTGTTTTAAATTAATATATTCAAAACAAGTCAAATGTATGTACAAAATATTTTTACACTATGGATATCATGGTTGTATCTCAAACTGTAAATAATTATCTTTCCTTGTCAAAAGTCCACACAGGCTGATTCAGGTACTTTGGAATCCAACTGACAAGACGAATTTTTCTCTACTCCGTTTCTTACTATACAAGCTGCGATAAATTCACTTACGTTACCCTGTGGTTTACCACAGTTGTATCCAAATCCTTATTAATTGTCAGACGGGTTCAATTACATTATAAAACACCCTTTGAAAAGACACATTATTCTTCTTATCTCTCTCTCTATTAAACTGTGAAACTCACTTTAAAATATCACACATTACAGCTAAACTAGCAATCACGCAGTCTAACCCTACTTTCACTAACTTACCGTTTTCTGATTTCACTTACGTAACTTCTTTTTTTCTTTTTTTTTTGGTTACCACAGTTGTAACCAGAGCTTTAAATGATGGTCTCTTTTTTTCGTAAAAAATCCACACAGGCTGGTTCAATTACTTTAGAACCCAATTGACAAGTAAAATAATTTTTCCTTCCTCTGTTGTTACAATATAGCTGTGAAACCCTCTACAGAAATCACCCTTTAAGGCTAATCACACACACGTCGGCTAGCTTCACGTTTTCTAACTTTTTTTCTAACTGAACTTTACTTACGCTCGCTTGGTCGCCTATATTTATACATGATTCACTGAGGCCTCGAAGTTTCTATAAACTACGCAAGCAACGCAATAATGTAACAATACTCACTTAAGGTAACTAGAAAACTACCAAAGATTCGAGTAATGTGGCGGCAACAGTATTATTAAAGTATAGTAGGACAACCTAACTGCATACAAAAAGTACGACTCATACAGAGTTAGGTAACGAAATTTGTCACAACTTATCGCCTCTAAAATAATTACTTTTAACTCGCTTGTTATGAAAAGTAAATAATCATTAAATACTAAACCACCAAACAAACCAAATAACAACTCTTAGACCAAACAGTCTTGTATATCCAACAAACTTGAATTGTATTGTTCTTATTTGTTGTATTTTTACAGTAACGCACAAGACAGACATATGTGATATGCGGGCACGTCATACGTTTTCTACCTATTTTAGTGACATAGAAATTTTAAAAAAATGTTTTAAAATGTTTGTAAGCAGTTTTAGCATAAATATGTGATCCAAAAAGTCATTGAGATCATCTTGTTTTAGTTGCTTTTGTTCCTTTGTTTTCTATAACAGATAACGCATATTCTGCCCAAAGGAATATTGCTGTAACACACACACACAACATCCGGGTCAAAAGGATTAGTGACTAATATCTTTCGCTGTCCAAATTAACAACGTCTGAATACGACAGCTGACCAATGCTATGAGAGAGCCAAAAGGTTACGAGGTGACACTGGCGACTGGACAAAGAAACAGAGTTTAGCTGTTGACTTTAGGCGTATTTTATTTGGTCAGACTCACTGACTCAGTTCTATTTGGTTTTCATGGTAACCAGTTCGGCAGATATTTATCTTGAGGAACGGAAAACTGTGGAGCTAATCACAATCCACTAGAAGCGACTGTCTTTTCATGTGTTCAAGTACGCGCTGCGATTTCTTTTTTGTCTGTTCTATAATTAATAGTGTTCATTTTGTCAAACTTGTCCAGTGTCATTTTTTTCACACGCACACTCGGTAAAGGTATCAGATTCAGATTATCCCCCTTTCTTCCGGAACAATCTGATGTTATTAGAGGATCTAACTATCTAATACTTGTCTGGAAATCAATTACTACCCGAAAATACCACAGACAAAGTGTACTGCAATCCTTTTCAATATACAGAACACTAACTTTCTAGTAAATAATACGACAGAGCAAATATAATATGCCAATTTAATTTTGACTTTAACACAAGTTAGATACAATTTAAGATAAACAAGAGTTTTATGTATTTATGGGCTGCTAACAATGGTGAGCAATTTTTTCTAATATTGCAACTTGGTTATAAGACTTTAAATAGAGATTTTGTAAAGATAAACATTTCGATTTGTGTGTGTGTGTGCGCGCGCGCGTGCACAGGGTCAGACGCAAGACTTTCAGAAGTAACTGAAAATTAATGACATCAATGATTCTTCCATGTCAAATAAATTCCACTCCTAGATTTAAACGTGGTAGAATTTTATGACACGACGTTGTTCGTTTATTGGCAAAATTCAGTCGAATTTTGTTTCTAGCTTTAAATATGAAAAACAGAAGCAGGTTTACTCGCTAGTTGTTGTTTGTTATTGAGCACAAAGCACTATCTGTGCTCTGCCCACCACGGGTATCGAAACCCGGTTTCTAGCGGTATAAGTCCGCAGACATACCACTGTGCTACTGGGGGGGCATATTCGCTAGTAAATATATTTTTTTCGGTATGACAAACCACCTCTACCTCTCTGCGGCATGGCCCGGTGGTTAGGGCACTCGACTCGCCATCTGAGGGTCGCGGGTTCGAATCCCCCTCACACCAAACATGCTCTCCCTTTCAGCCGTGGGGGCGTTATAATTTTATGGTAAATCCCACTATTCGTTGGTAAAAGAGTAGCCCAAGAGTTGGCGGTGGGTGGTGATGACTAGCTGCTTTCCCTAGCTGTCTTACACTGCTAAATTAGGGACGGCTAGCGCAGATAGCCCTCGTGTAGCTTTGCGCGAAATTCAAAACAAACAAACTCCCTCTCTGTTTTTCTTCTTCTTTTGCATGGTAGACAAACGTAGTAATTCCGCATCATTGTGTGTAATATTACACACAAATGCATAAATTATACTTATTGGAAGGGTGTAGCTTTTAGTAGAACAATGTCTTTCAAACAGTGATCAATTCGTTAAATTAAGTCCATTCTTGTAAATTCAATGAACTTTTATAAACAAAACTCATTTAGTGGAATATGTCATCTTTGTCTAAGTTTGGTTTTCTATAAAAGTATTTTTATCCTTTAATATTGTACTAATTTGGTGTTTTCATGTTTCGAATTTTAAAGTCGTAGCAGCACGTTATTTTCGTATTATTATTAATATTACGAATATTTATTTTTTTCATTCTCATACACCAGTTTCAATACCTTAGAAGATTAGCGGCGAGTACTTCGTATGAATAGAAGGAATTGTATGATAAAATTGAATCGCTTTATTTATGGATTTAGTTTAAGCCTACACATACTTTAGAAACACACTAAATTAAAAGCATGAAGTGTAAAATGCATCAAACTTACGTATCATTACACAAACAACTTGGTGACTAACGTTTAATATACGTAGTAAATTAAGAAACAGTAGCAAAGAAAATAGATTTGGCACCATAAAAGTAAAGTAACCAGGACATCTTTGTTTCTTTCCAACGATTTGTGAAATTTGTAGGCTCAAAATTGGTGAAATTTGAAGGATACACAATTGCTTAAAATAGAAAGCGCGCGATTAGTATAATATGCATCTTTTTTTTTCAAGGAACGATGACGTATTTTTTATCAACAAAAAAAGTTAAATTAACTTCTAAAACCTACCTGGGACATGTCCGGTGTAACGCGGAATTCTTTCACGAGGCAGTGGAAAACTGTTGTGATCAGGAAGTAGCGAAATCACGCGTCTCTGATTTATTTGTGTTGTTCCGATTTCTTGCTGCGCGATGAGAACCTTTAACTGTTCTTCCCTGTTGAAGTTTTGCAAAGCAACTTTGGTGGACAAAGGATAAGACATACCAAAGGAAAACCGTTCGCCTGGTACATATCCCGTGTAACCTCGGACGTAAAAAACAAAAATACAATACATTCTTACCTATATCTTTTGCCTTTAGAAAATAAAATTTTATGTGTACTGACGTAGTACATTGTGAATCCTGAAAAAGACTGAACAATATTTTTTTTTATGGACTCGGCGAATTTCACAATACGAAACATTGATGCATAGTGTCAACAGTGTCAACTTTACAAAAAAAAAGAGAAGTTTATTTATCTCCTGTAAGGTTCGTTTCTTTCTGCAAAAACGTCCGATTGTCCTGTGGGTTGCGGGATCGAAACCTGGTACCGAAACCGTGGGGGGGGCAGTATAATATGACGTTGGTAACAGAGTAGCCCAAGAGTTTGGAGTGGGTTATGCCGGTTGGTCATCTTTCTTCTGGCCTGGCGGATTCGAACCCCTTCCCACCAAACATGCTTGGCCTTTCAGCCGTGGGGGCTTTATAATGTCACGGTCATTTCCACTATTCGTTAGTACAAAAAAGTGGCCCAAGAGTTCTCGGTGGGGACTAGCTGTCTTCTCACTAGTCTTTCACTGCTAAATTAGGGACAGTTAGCGCAAATAGTCCTCGTGTAGCTTTGCGCGAAAAATTAAAAAAATAAACAAGCCTTCCTTTTGGTCAGCAATATAAAATTATAGACGGCGGCTGATAGTTATAGCAGTTTTGCCATAAAGCAGAAATAAACAAACCTACTGTAGAAACAAAAATGTTATTAAAGATTTGTATTCTAAGCATTAAAACAGGTTTCTGCCCCGATATTGTCTTCAGACTATACTTTAATGAGAACAAATGATTTCAATGACAATATTAATAATCTGAGCCTTGTTATAAAAAAAAGCTGCATTCTCTTTACTTATTTCTTTTTAAAACACAAAACTACACGATTTGCTTATTTGTTTTAACACACAAAGCTACACGATTTGCTTATTTGTTTTTAAATCACAAAGCTACACGATTTGCTTATTTGTTTTTAAATCACAAAGCTACACGATTTGCTTATTTGTTTTTAAAACACAAATCTACACGATTTGCTTATTTGTTTTTAAAACACAAAGCTATACGATTTGCTTATTTGTTTTTAACACACAAAGCTACACGATTTACTTATTTGTTTTTAACACACAAAGCTACACAATTTACTTATTTGTTTTTAAAACACAAAACTATACGATTTGTTTATTTGTTTTTAAAACACAAAGCTACACGATTTTCTTATTTGTTTTTAAATCACAAAGCTACACAATTTACTTATTTGTTTTTAAAACACAAAACTATACGATTTGTTTATTTGTTTTTAAACACAAAGCTACACGATTTGCTTATTTGTTTTTAAAACACAAAACTACACGATTTGTTTATTTGTTTTTAAAACACAGAGCTACACGATTTGCTTATTTGTTTTTAAAACACAAAGCTATACGATTTGCTTATTTGTTTTTAAAACACAAAGCTATACGATTTGTTTATTTGTTTTTAAAACACAAAACTACACGATTTGCTTATTTGTTTTTAAATCACAAAGCTATACGATTTGTTTATTTGTTTTTATATTCGCATGAAAGTTACCCCTCATTTTAGAAATAAACTTAGTGGTTGTAAAAAAAATATCAAATTTTGTTCACATACGTAAAAGAAACGTATTTTAATTTTATTGTCTTTCAGAATTAAAACTTGTACACAAGTTTTTACTTATATTCATTAAACCAGCATACAATTAGCATACACACACACACACTAAATTATTGAGAAACTGTATGTATCATCACTGACGATTAGAAGAAAAAACTCAAAGTACATAGTTGTTCAATTCACTAACTTATTGAGCTATTATTGTTTTCTTAGTGCAAAGTTACACAGTGGACTATATGCATTCTGCCCATTACAGGGAATCGAGCCTCAAATTTTAGTATTGTAAGTCTGCAAACATGCTCGTCCTTTCCAAGAGGGGAGGCTGTCAAGTGGGGTGCATCCTTGACGTACGAAACAGCTTTAGAAACGATGGCAGAGCAAGATCTGCCATCGGCTCGACGGTCCGCAAGGACTATGGGGGAAAAAAAAAAAGTCTGCAAACTTACCGCTGACCCACCGGGAAGCTATTTTGAGTCCTTTCGTCAAAACCTTCACGTTTGTTTTTGAATTTCTCGCAAAGCTACACGAGGGCTATCTGCGCTAGCCGTCCCTAATTTAGCAGTGTAAGACTAGAGGGAAGGCAGCTAGTCATCACCACCCACCGCCAACTCTTGGGTTACTTTTTACCAACGAATAGTGGGATTGACCGTCACATTATAATGCCCCCACGGCTGAAAGGGCTAGCATGTTTGGTGTGACGGGGATTCGAACCCGCGACCCACAGATTTCGAGTTGAGCACCCTAACCATCTGGCCATGCCGGGACCCCTAAGTTACAGTCTGTCCAAGTAAGACATGCTGGCAATATATTAAGACGGAGAAATACGTTGTGAGTTATTTAGTTACAATTACGTTGTAGCGATATTTTGCGGCATCACTATATTTTTAATGTGAGCATGAAGTTTTAAAGCAATTCGGGGAAGATTTTTTGTTTGTTTATTTAATTGGTGTTTTCCGTAAGAATTGTTGCACTGGATCCCTTTTTCTGAACGTAAAAAATAGAAAAAAGTTGCAAGGCAAAATTCTGTAATACCTAATTAAGAAACGGAAATTTCCTAAACTAACTTTCATATTTTGAAGTTTATATATTTAGATTAGCATTGCTTAACTTTACAATCGTTTGGCTACAACTGTGGACTTTAAATACGGTGTGCCCGAAAAGTCTGTCACCATAGGCAAATTTGCAGCTTTTCATAATTTCAGATACGTCACTGATTATGGCGCTGTCAAAACATGAGAAGGTCGAGTTAATCCTGCTGTTAATCCA